ATATAAACATAAATAGAATATAAAATAATAATACATGATTTATTGATGATATTTTAACATTATAAATACTACACTACTTCAGAATAATAATTCATTTAAATAATGAAACGATAAAACATATAAATATACTAATTTGAATGAAGATTTTAAATATTTATAATCAAAACAAAGCATAATAAGAAAGAAGAATAAAATAATCAATAAATTAACAATAAATCATAAACAGAAATAAAGAATATAAGAAATAAATAAAAAATAAGAAAAAGAATAAAAGAAGAAGAAAAATAAAATAAATAAAATACAACAATAAAAGAAGAAGAAATAAAAGAATAATAATGAATAAGAAAAGATAAAAGAATGGAAAATAAGAAATAGGTGAAAGAATAATAAGAAAAGATAAAAGAAGAAATAGAAAAATAAAAATAAAAAGAAAAGAAATAAAAAACAATAAGAAAGAAATAAGAAGAGGACAACAAGAAGAAGAAAAGAAATAATAATAATAAAATGAAGATAAAAGAGGAGATAATAAATGATAAAAGAGGTAAATAATAATAAAAGATAATGAAGAAAAGAAAAGAAATATAAAAATAAGAAGTAATAAAAGTAGAGAGTACTAAAGGAAAGAATAAATAAAGACAAATAAAAGGAAAATTACTTTTCTTTAATTATTTTTATCTTTACTTCTCTTATTTCTTTATTTCTCTTCTTTTATCTTTCTTATTTCATTAATCATATTATATTATTTTATCTTCTTCTTTTTCTTCATTTCATCACTTCTATTTATATTTATATTCTTCTTCTATTACTTATATTATTTTATCTTTTATCTTATTTCTTTATTCTTTTTATCTTTTATCTCTTTTATTATTCTTTCTTTATCTTTATTTCTTTTCCTCTTTTTATTTTCTTTTCTCATATTTCTATCTTTTCTTTTATTATTCTTTATTTTATTTCATTTTATCTTTTTATTTCAGATTGGAATATTACACATCATATGCGTCATAATTTATTCATGTTTTGATTTCACATACTTATAGTCTGTTTATGACATTACCATTGGTTAGAATACATCTTATATCAGTGATTATTATTTATGATGATTGAATATCATTTATAATAAAGTATATTTAATTATAGAGATGATAACACTATTAATTACTTGTTATGATATACATGTGTAATTGATAATATACATATTATCATGAAAAAGGGTCTGATTATTGTGATTGATGCTAAAATGAAAATTAATCATAATAACACAATAACAATGATATGTTCTTCTTAAAAATGAAATTAAAGAAGAGGAACTTATTCCTCTTTAATTTA